AGCGCCTACGCTTGCCACTGGGTCCGGGACCGGTGGCAAGCTGTGGATGGCTCAGGCAGGTGGCCAGGGACCCGAATAAGGACATAAGCATAAAGCATTCTACGTTTACGTTACCTTCTTGGACCCGCATGTAACGTAAGGGGGTTTGGTTAGGTTAACATGGCATATCCCTATCCTAATTTCTGCTTTCATCCTTTTTCTTGGGGCCCTGGGTTGGCACTGATTCCCTGCCAGATGCTGGCCTTCGCCCTGGCCCTCGTCGTCGTGCTCGCGGCCACAATCGTGAGGAGCCTCGCCCTCGTCGCACCACCAGCCCGGCGCCTGCTCGATTTCGTAACGAGCCTCGTCGCCTTCGGAATGACAGCAGCAGCCCGGAGCCTCCTTTTGGGAGGCCTGTATTCCGACGGCGCCGAAGTCGCTCGGAGCGCAGCCGATCCCGTCGGTGACACCACGACCACGCCCTTGTCCTTTAAGACACAATAGACAATAGACAGAGCCCCCATACCTATATCCCTAAGTAGGAAATATTGAAGAAGGTCTACTAGCCGGTCCAAAAGAACCATGAAAAAGGACAAGGCTGGTGTATGATAGCTGCCACTCAGAGCGCAGCCGATCCCGTGGCTGACACCCTTGTCCTTTTAGAAACAACAGACTGAAAGAGCCTCAGCCCCATACTTACATCCCTTTTTAGGAAATATTGAAGAATTGAAGAAGGTCTACTAGCCGGTCTGTTTATTCCTTTGGGGGAACCATGAAAAAGGACAAGGCTGGTGTGTGATAGCTGCCACTCAAATTGATGCGAACCGTGAAAAGATTTCTTGGCGTGCTCAGTCTTTGTCTGTGTTCTGCGTCCTGCCGAATCGATACCTGCAACTGAAGCCGTTCGTGACAGGTCTAGTCAGCAGTGGACAATGCCAGGAGCCCAGGGAACGACTCACTTTGCAGAAGCTATGCGGCCAGACTCGTCGATGGATTCCATTGTGGCACCTGCGACTTGTGACTGTGAGAGGCTCACGCAGTCCCGGGCCCCGGAGAACGACTTCGGCCTCACAGGTCACGCTGACGTGTGCTTCTTTTTCGGTCTGATTCAGTAACCAGCTTGCAAGGAAGCGCCGAAGGCATGTCATGTGGGAAACTGTAGGAAACTTGCTTGCATGCCTCAGTCCGGGTTCAGACCGATTCGGTTTTGCTGCACAGCACACGTGACCCAGCCAGTCCTCTTAAAGAACTTGTGGCAGCTCGCACAAACTGTTATATTCTGAAGTGGAGAAGGCCTCATATCAACAACAACTGGATGTGGTCTTGATCCTCAGCTTCGCGTATACAAGCATTGCTTCAATTCAATGCCGGAGCCAGCGGACACCGGACCCCTGCGCATCCCTCGCGACTTTGGTGGAAAGCTGTGTTTCGTGGCATGGGGAAAGGACTGGGAATACAGGACGCCTACAGGCGGGTGGCCCTGGGCCCTGAGTGTGTAGAACTAATGACTAGAAAGCTTCTGCAGTAATTCAAAAGTTTTTACTGTTAAGCTGCCCTCAGGTGCAGTTGGCAAAGGTGACATGATCATGCCGTGGTATTTGCAGAAGAAAAAGTTTGCAGACCACAATCACTTGATGATTGATATCACGGAGATGTATCCGTGGCAGCGCGCCAGCAGTGTAATCAGCTCCTCGACTGCATGCGCGACTGGAATTTAGCCCTAAACCTTGAAATGACAAGCATCCTGAGTCCTCAGGTGCGACCAGGTTCGGCAGCCCCAAGTGGATGAGGGAAGTATTGGATTCTCGCTACGGCAGGGGGGCAGTCGGCTGGGTGTTCGCCGCCTGCCTGGGCCTGGAGGTGCCGGCCAAGTTGGGAAGCCCGGACTCCAAGACCTGCATACACATCATAAGCCACTCAGCTGCTGGCAGATTGCCAGTTATGTCATGTTTATTGTTTCATCACTTTAAGCTTCCTTTAATCCCATATCAACATGCCTTAATCCCCAGCCTGCTTTGTTGAGGTTCGGATGGCAAGTACCGTAGCGTTGCCATTGCCATGGCCCTCGCCTTCGCCTTCAACAGCTACCTCTTCACGCCCTCGTACGACGACTTGTCGGATGATCCTGTGCGCTGGCACATCAACGTTCCCAGATGGCATTCCTGGTAAAAGGTTAAGATTTTCTCTCTGCTGGCTGTAGGGGGTTTTGCGATGCAGCCCCAAACCTTCAGCCGAGGACTACAACAAGGATGTGAGGGAGTGGATTGTCAGGGGGCTGAGCCTGAAACAGGCGGAGCTCATCACGCACTTCAAGCTGGTTCCTCCCGGCCCGCCTAGCCCGCCTCCGCCGGAGGCTGCACCCGAACCCGAAGCAGCGGAACCGGCGGAGGAACCTAGGCCTGAGCCCGAGTTTGCGTCTTCGTCTTGGTCGAGCCCTTATATCCCTGGCTCTGGCAATCGGGGCGCTGGCGAGGACGCTGAAATGGCGAAGGCAGGGGACGGATTATAGGCTTGGGGACTGGGGTTGCGGCAACCTGACTGAAGTAGCAATTTCTCAGGTCTGTGGCGACGTCTTCGAGAAGGCACCCAGTCTCTTCAGAGTCCTTCGCGAGCTCAAGGTAGACGATGCGGCCTGGTTGAACTTCGCGGCCCTGATCGGTTCAGGGCCCGAAGGCCTACAACATGGCTTGGCCTTCGTGAAGCTTGGTTCCTGTCTAGAACGAACTACGAACTAGGAAACTGTTACACTCGAACAGTAGACTGGGATACCCTTAAGGGACTACTGTCAATGTCAATGGAACCTAGGAAGAGTGCGCGCAGTCAACTTTCCGACGAACGCTGCCACAATCCCTGGAGAAATCCGTCTGCGATCGCGAACGACCACTGCCGCAAACGCTGGAACCAAATGGACGAAGGCAACTCGGCTTTGCAAGTTGTCTGCTTTTGTGCCTCAATGGAGCATAGGTCCTTGGCATGCCCACCTCAGTCCCAGGCACAGGCCGTAAGGCGGGGTCGGCTGCTGGGCGCGGTCGCGCTCCTCCTCTGCATCAGTCGGTAAGTTTATTTTCGCTCAGTTCCATTTTCGAAGATGGGGATTTCCCAGCTCTTTTGCGCAGGGCTCCGACCAGCACCATCGTTCTCGGCCGTCATCTCCTGCATCTCGACGAAATGAAGCCGACAAGCGGAACTATGCCTACTATGACGCGCGCCGTCTCAGCAGCTTCCAGTAGGGGCACTCCATGAAAAGGCAAGGATAATTTATTTACCCATGAGATTCAGTTCCAGAAG